ACTCTGTACTTGTTGAAATTCTTAAACCAAACTATTTCATAGTATCTTTGAAAAAGCCATTTTTGGCTTTACCATGCAAAGTGTAAGAGAAGGACAAAGTCAAGAAACTTGAGAGAATAAGAAATTCAAGATATGTTACAGCAGAATTAGAGAGCGATTTGAGGGTTCTTTATTAAAAAAGGATAAACAAGTTTTGTAAAAATAACAATTTTTTTTGTCTTTATATTTTTTTTTTAAATTTTATCTTTCAAACTTTATAAATTTAATTTTAATTTATATAAAATTAATAAATTTTAAATCTATGTAAAATATATATTTTATCCTTTTAATTTTCTGAAATTGAAAATAAATATTTTTATCTTAATATTTATTTTAAGATATATTAATATAATTTAATTTAAAAATCTTGAACAAAATTTGTGAATAGCTTTAAAAAAAGATAATATTTATATGACGTACATAACATTATCTATTATAGTATGTTAAATGTAAAAATAAGAGGATTATTTGTAAATAGCAATGTATTATGACATGTGAACAAATATATGTTATAGAAAATGAGAGATATTATGATAGGAGAAAAAAACTATCTCATAGAAACCAAGATATTATGACAGGTAAACAAAATTACTTCATATTAAATTAGACATATTATGACTAATAGTTGAAAGTATGTCGTAGTAGACTGAATATATTATGACAAGTGACAGAAAGTACATCATAGTAGGCTGCACCTATTATGACGTACATTTTCATTACGTAATAAAATGCATAAATTTTTTTTATGATTGTAAGAACTATGACATCAGAACACCTGTCATAATATGATCATTTTACCTATCATAATATGTCTTTTCTGCATTAGTAATATCTTTGATCCCTCACTAACTCCAAGAAAAATAAATCTCACTTTTTTCATCAAGCTTTGCTTTTTACAATAAGAAACACGAACATGTGATATACAACCAAACACTTTGAAGTAAGTCATTGATGGTTTGAATCCTCTCAAGGCTTCTTCATGGGTTTTATTCTTCACTACTAGTGTTGTACTCCTATTGAGAATGTAAATTGAACAATTAATAACTTGGGACTAGAATATTTTTGTCTTGAGAGTATACTTTAAACCATATTCATGATTGTCCGGTTCTTCCGCTCAATTACACTATTATATTGGGGTTGTATGAAGTTGTAAGAGGCCTTTAACCAGTTTCACTGCAAAAATTATTGAATTCATGTGACACAAAATCACTCTTACAATCTATCTGTATAAAGACCTTTTATGGATAAACCTGTCTCTTTCTTAACTTAATTCTTATATTTTTTTTTAATGTAATGAAAGCCTCTGATATTTCACCCAAAAAAAATACACTTATATTTCTATTGGATATAGGGCTGATGGGTCCACATGTATTACCATGTACTAGTTCAAGAATTTGAAAGGCTCTTTATGTGGTTGCAAATGGAAATGAATTTCTTTGTTTCTTTCTCTTAAGACAATCGGAACACACTTTTGATGAAGTATCAAAATGAGGTAAGCCTTGTATCATTCCTTTATGTTGGAGTGTATTCAGACCAGACTTGTAAAGCTTAAGTGGTCACTAAAGTTAATCTTTGTCTATAAAGTGGTCACTAACTTAAAACAAGATTGATCACTAATTTAGTCACCAATAATGACTAACATTTTTGGTCACTAAAATTGATTACCATTTATTTTTTTTCTAGTGTTAGATGATGGAACATCAACGTGGCTTGATAGGTCTATGCATCCAATAAGTTGGTGACTAATCCTTTTTACATCTCCACAATTACCAACTTCAGAATATATGTTTAGAAAATTATATTCCTGAAAAGTTATTCAGAAACATTTACTGTATTTTGAAAATTTTATTTCAAAATTTCTTAGGAAATCAATTTAAGTATTATTATATGTATAATTTTTTTATAAACTAGCTCACTTTTTTATGTTTGAGTTTTATGTTTGTTATTTTTTTTTTCGATGATCATCTTTATGAAAAATCAAATGATTATATACTCCAGAAGAGATTTTAGTACAGTATAGATATAGGATTGTGGGAATTTAGTTTAGCTTATATTTTTCGAAAAAGTTGTATTTTGTTTTTAACTTTTAGTTTCTTGAAGTGATGTAAAACATATTAATATGATTAATTTAATAAATGTAATAGTATAGTTATATGTTTGTTTCTGATTATTTATGAATTATATGGTCTATATAATATTGTATTTAGTATTTTTTTTATTAAATAGAATGTTACATAATTCATTATTTACTTTATTCTAAAAAATCATAAACATTATCGAATTAATTTACTCTACAAAAATGAAATGAAACCAATCATTTAAAGAAATTTAAGAGTCTCACTGTTAATTATATATTAAGCAATTGGATACATATAAATATTACATTTAAAAATAATTTAAGAATAATTATTTTAAAAAACTCCAGAAAAATTTCAAAATAACACAACCAAAATAAATTTTTCATTATCAAATAATTTTTAATTCATTCTTTCTAATTTTAACAATATTACAAAACAATTATAGTCAAAATAATAAACTTTGAAAAAAAACTTCCCATTTACTACATATTTATTAGGATTTTGTATAACTTCATCGTTCATTGATATATTCCATTCAATACTTATTTTTTTCCTTTTAGAAGTATTTTAAACAACCAACCATGTTATTTTAAATTCAATTTAATTAATATTAGTATGACAAAATTGCCCACTCCTTCTCTCTAAACATTCATTTTAAATTAATTAATTTTTAAATATATTCACTCTTCAACTTTTTAACTAAGTTAGTTCACCTTAAATACTAAATTAAAATATTTTATTTTCAAATTCCTCTGTCAATAATATAATTGAAGCACATTTTCTACTTATGTAAAATGCACAATAAAAGACAATTAGCAAACAATTAAATAAGTTCAACAAGCTGCAGTATGAAAAAATTGATGTATTGATTAACAAGAAGATCAAATAGTGTTGTTGTATGGAAAAAATACTCTCCCTTGGTTACATTCTATGATTTTCTACTTTGGTAAGAATCAATGCTAAGCTACATTCCTAAGTTACAACACAATTAAATATTGTTTTCTCAGATTTTATCATTTTCTGGTTACTCATTTTATCAGTAAAGCTATGACCTTATAATATGTAATATGGAATATGGAATAAGGCTAACAAAAACCAGTTGCTTCATATGCAATGACCTTATAAGGAAGAATCCCTAAACATTTATATCACCAGAGCTTCTGTTCAGCTAGCAAGTTATAAAGTCCCACATTACTCAAGACTCTGACAAGCAGCTTGAACTCAAATATAAATCTTCAGCACTTACTCAGTTCAAAGCATACCTTTCTCGGCCTTTTGGCTAAGATCAAGTGTAGTATCTGTTCTTATCAGTTTAATATCTGATATGTGAACCATTGGTTCGCACGATATTAAATTTATTTTTTAAGGGAGAGAGTCAAATGCAGTGGCTTGCTACTGTGGCTCTCAAGCATTGGCTTTGCTTTGCACTACTGCAGGGCTGGGTGCATCCCTCCTATATTAGTTCATCTTTTGCTTTTTTATTGCAATTTCTGCTCCTACCTCACATTTTTATATACAATGTACTCTTTATGAAGTTGGAATCTCAAATTCTACTACTAAGTTCCATTTATATATATTCACACAGAATATTTGTGTATGGTATAAAGAGACTTAAGTCAATCCTTTTATATGTATTTACACAGAATATTTATGTATGTCATAAAGAGACTTAAAGTGCAAAATTGTCTGAGACAGCTAGTTCAATAGACTCATTTTGCTGTATTTTAGCTTCCACATAAGAATACAAACATAAGCAGAGCTTAAAGTATAAGATCCATTCTCTTTTTTTCTAAATTAATTCAATTATTCAATGTTTCATCCAAAAAGATAGCACAAGCTCATTGATATTGTGAGTGTTAAAATGCAAATATTTTTTACTTATGTCACACATCCCTAAAAAGATTAATAAAAATGTCTTTATACTATCTCCCACAAGGAAGTCAGATTGCCAAACTGAATTATAGTCCATGCACCATGAGCAATAATAAGTAATCTTTAAGTCTACTGTTTTTAAATCTTCTTCATTTCATCAGCATAACTGTTGAAAACTTTCCCTCATTCTCAAATGTCAACACCCAATTTCCAAAACTAACCCACTCCCTCATGTACATACTTTCTCTCCCAACAACACTCACAATTTCGGTGCAGTTGCCTTTTAGTTTCAAACTTCTGTCAAAGTGATTGTTTTTGAAAGGAAGACTTTATTGTTGAGAGGGAATAGAAATAAAGAATTTGGAGAACAAAAAAAAAAAGAAAGAGGCAACACTCACAGAAAGAAAACACAAATAGAGAACTAAGGGACAAGAAAGCATAGAGAATAGAGAATAGAGAATAAAAATATATTTTTTCTCATTCTTTTCCATGATGGGGTGTAGGATACTAACTAAATGTCTTAAATTTGCATGATTTTCATTGTCGTTTCCCAAATATGAAGTATAAGCATTGGATTGTGGTCCATTTGGTTGTGTTGGTGTATGTTTGTCTTTTGTTTTCTTCTTCTGTCCTTCCCTTGCATGAAGTGTGTCATGGTTGTGAGTGTAAAGCCACCGTGAACATGTTTTCATGAGTGAGTAAAACATGTCTTCTACTTGAACATTCCAATGACGTGTTTGTAGAGTTTTAAAAACACAGGTATTATACATCAGAGGGTTGTATGTGGTGAGTGTGTTATTTATAGTGCAGCCTTTTGTAGTTCTGGTTTGCTTTTCTGAACTTGGTTCTCGATTTCATAATATTCTTTTAGCTTTTTCAAAAAAGAAAAATTTGACAATTCAATCATGTTCTAGATTGAACTAGATGCCTACAACAACACGATATATATTTATAATGGCATATCTAATCTATATTATTTCTATTGATAATATGAATACACTTCAATACATACTAATAATACACTGCTTTTGCATGCATCATGCACACTTTGAATGTNCAAATTGCACTACTTGTGACTAAAATGCAAACCTCTTCCTTTAGTTCTCGGATTTCACCAGTTTCTTTGTTAGATTGAGCAGCCCCAAGTTCAATGGATGAAACCCTCTCAGCAAATTTGAGTGTGCTAATTGTCTCCCCAAAAGCATTAAGTTCAGGATTTATATGAACAAACATCAAAGTTTTTGCATGCCCTCCTATTGATAAAAGAAAAGAAACACATATCTCAAGTTAAGTTTGCAGAAATTCAAACAAGCAAACAAAAATGGCAATAACCAAATTAATACCAGTATTTAAATTTCTAGTCACTTATCAGCCTAATCTAACAACCTGGTCCCAAAAGAAAGATTGTACATATAGTGGTCAAATAGTAGTAACACCTATTATAACAATATGGTTGTCATAAGAGAAATGGAAAAAAAATTCCAAATCTTAATGCTGCCATAACCTATCATTATAGGTAAGTTGCATCAAAGGGGAAAAAATTACATGGCAAACTGTTACCTAAAGAATCTTGTAACACTTGTGTGAGCTTGCTATTTCTATAAGGGATATGTGGACTCTTCTGTGCCAAGGCAGAGATAACATCCCCAAGTGCAGAAAGTGATCTATTTATATGTTGCGCTTCCTTTAGTCTCTCACCCACTGCCTCAGATTTGTCAACCCTCTCACTTCCAGCCAAATCCACAAGATGGAGACAACCTCTTAGAATGGAGTTGGAAACTAACTCCCTTCCTCTAACATGAACAGTCAAAACACTGCAAAAAGTAAGAACTTAGTTAAATATATTTGATGGTTGTTGGTTATCCATCTATGTTCATGAAGATGTCACTTTACCTATGGGAACGACTGCTTCTCTCATTTAGAGCTGTAGCACCCACGGCTCGGTTCTTCTGACCAATTCTCATCAAGTCTAGAACATCTCGAGTACAGGTAACCGGAACCAAAAATGCATCAGGCACATTGATGCCATTCATTTGAGAATTGTTTCGTATGTCTAATGTATATCTTGTTAAGGAACTGAAAAAACTACATAAATTTCATTGTTGATATCTGTATAAAATTAAGAATTTGAACTGCCTTGCTGAAGAAAAAATTATGATAGAGCACTGCTTAAAGGATATCTTCTGTTAGAGCCATCACTGACTAGCAAATCTCTCACTTGTTCATTATATATTTCAATCATCTGAACGAAAACTTCATATTTTATGGAATCAGACCTTTCCTTTGATATATGAAATAAATCACCCAAAGCCCTGTAGTTTACACCCCATGTCTCTTCTGTTGTAAGATCAGGGCCACTCTGCACAAGCAAGTTAATCGCATTAATAGGCATGATTAAAAAAAATGATGGAACAAGAAATATATCGTAATTGAACTTATTATAGACCTGGTTGTTTTCTGATGTAGCTATAGTTTCAAGGTCTATAAAATGGACATTTTATCAATTTATGTTGACAAAGAACAAGATAATTTAAATTTGTAAGTAAGCTGTTAAGTTAGAGGTTGAATAAAGTTTCAAATAAGGAAGTTTTCAAAAGAAATGTCTCCAAACCAAGGTTTGAACTAGTACTACTAGAGTCTTTAAACACCCAAAATCGTGTGATGGTGTCTAACATGTACCATAAAATACAAAACTAGAAGGAAAAACATATGATTGGTAAATAATACATGGATATCCCACGATTAGAAATTCAATGGTGGTAAGTTTAAAACCACATACATTTTTTATGTGTAAACAACAGTCAATAATAGCCAAGTAATTTAAGATACATTACTTTAGTTTAATGAATCAACATTATGTAAAATAAANTATATATAGGGCAAATAACAGCAAAACAGTGTTCATGCAAAAGCTACTTCTGATAGTTATAATAAGTAAAAATAAGAAGAAAAAGTAAAAACTGTTCTTTGATAAGTTAGAATTAACTAAGTTAAAAGTTATTTTTTAGAAAAGTTAACACAAATTTTCCTTTACATTACTTTTTCTAAGTGTTTTTCAAAAAGTTTATCCGAAGTTTAAAACTTGGAATCATGTTTCAACATATTGCAAACATCATGTCCGTCCTAAAGTCAAGCTGAAGTATGTCATAAGTTGATCCAAACACACCCTACTGTTAGTAATACCTTGATTCAGGGTTCTGAAAATTCCTGGCAAAGTTCTGACGTAACTTTTTGAGACTTAAAGCACCATGGACAGCAGACTCCATAAATCTAAGATCATTTTCAGCCTCGGAGTAATCATTCTTTGGAGGTGACTCCACATTACTTTCACCAGCATATTCCATGTCAGGAATGAATGATGAGGTCAAATCAGGCTTTTGAATCTTGAAGGGTGATAGTTGATTATGCTTGGGCTTAGCCTTACTCTCAACCTTGCTTTTTCTGATGCCACCTTGTCTTACTGCACTAAGTGCTTGCTTGAATTGTTCCTCTTCATGTTCTTGATGAACTTTCTTATAGTTGAACTTCTGGAGGTTGAAGATTGTTTCTGAAATGTTTTCATGCTTTACAGTCTCTTGTGAATTCACATAAATTCTTGTGTCAGTGGATGCAACCACTGGCATTGTAACAAGGGATTTGTTAGCAGCTGGAAATGGATGCTTTAATATTGGTTGGTTGTCCATTGTTTCAGTTTTTACTTTGCTTTTAATGACTGTCCCTCTATCATTGGATTGTGATCTTCTCACTGGAGGAGATGGTGATCTTCCCTTCACTGAGCTGACTAACTTTTCTTCAGTAGGAAAAGACATTTTTGGCATAGAATCCTTCTCCATTAGTGTTGAGGGAAACCTTGACCTTCTTTGCTTACCTGAAGAGCAACTTCTAGACTGAAAAAAGAAGTTCAAATTAAGTTAGAGCCTATGTGAATCTGCATCAACATGGCACAATGTCCAAATGCATATTTACATATTTCTTACAAGTGGGTACATATTTTATTTAACTACCTCCAAGCTTCTATCATCCATAAGTCTTTGACCAGTTTCATGCTTCATGTTGCCACTGGTACCATATTTTGGTAATTGAAAAGGTGAAACAGCTCTTGGTTTTTGAGAATCAATGACGTTTCTAGCATTCCCAGCCTTCCACTGATCCAGTTCTGCTTCCTTCCTCTCCAATGCCAATTTGAGATTTGATATCTAAAAAAATAAAGAACCGTTTACATATGTTGTGCATGTTATGTTCAAATTGCACTACTTGTGACTAAAATGCAAACCTCTTCCTTTAGTTCTCGGATTTCACCAGTTTCTTTGTTAGATTGAGCAGCCCCAAGTTCAATGGATGAAACCCTCTCAGCAAATTTGAGTGTGCTAATTGTCTCCCCAAAAGCATTAAGTTCAGGATTTATATGAACAAACATCAAAGTTTTTGCATGCCCTCCTATTGATAAAAGAAAAGAAACACATATCTCAAGTTAAGTTTGCAGAAATTCAAACAAGCAAACAATAATGGCAATAACCAAATTAATACCAGTATTTAAATTTCTAGTCACTTATCAGCCTAATCTAACAACCTGGTCCCAAAAGAAAGATTGTACATATAGTGGTCAAATAGTAGTACCACCTATTATAACAATATGGTTGTCATAAGAGAAATGGAAAAAAATTCCAAATCTTAATGCTGCCATAACCTATCATTATAGGTAAGTTGCATCAAAGGGGAAAAAATTACATGGCAAACTGTTACCTAAAGAATCTTGTAACACTTGTGTGAGCTTGCTATTTCTATAAGGGATATGTGGACTCTTCTGTGCCAAGGCAGAGATAACATCCCCAAGTGCAGAAAGTGATCTATTTATATGTTGCGCTTCCTTTAGTCTCTCACCCACTGCCTCAGATTTGTCAACCCTCTCACTTCCAGCCAAATCCACAAGATGGAGACAACCTCTTAGAATGGAGTTGGAAACTAACTCCCTTCCTCTAACATGAACAGTCAAAACACTGCAAAAAGTAAGAACTTAGTTAAATATATTTGATGGTTGTTGGTTATCCATCTATGTTCATGAAGATGTCACTTTACCTATGGGAACGACTGCTTCTCTCATTTAGAGCTGTAGCACCCACGGCTCGGTTCTTCTGACCAATTCTCATCAAGTCTAGAACATCTCGAGTACAGGTAACCGGAACCAAAAATGCATCAGGCACATTGATGCCATTCATTTGAGAATTGTTTCGTATGTCTAATGTATATCTTGTTAAGGAACTGAAATAACTACATAAATTTCATTGTTGATATCTGTATAAAATTAAGAATTTGAACTGCCTTGCTGAAGAAAAAATTATGATAGAGCACTGCTTAAAGGATATCTTCTGTTAGAGCCATCACTGACTAGCAAATCTCTCACTTGTTCATTATATATTTCAATCATCTGAACGAAAACTTCATATTTTATGGAATCAGACCTTTCCTTTGATATATGAAATAAATCACCCAAAGCCCTGTAGTTTACACCCCATGTCTCTTCTGTTGTAAGATCAGGGCCACTCTGCACAAGCAAGTTAATCGCATTAATAGGCATGATTAAAAAAAATGTTGGAACAAGAAATATATCGTAATTGAACTTATTATAGACCTGGTTGTTTTCTGATGTAGCTATAGTTTCAAGGTCTATAAAATGGACATTTTATCAATTTATGTTGACAAAGAACAAGATAATTTAAATTTGTAAGTAAGCTGTTAAGTTAGAGGTTGAATAAAGTTTCAAATAAGGAAGTTTTCAAAAGAAATGTCTCCAAACCAAGGTTTGAACTAGTACTACTAGAGTCTTTAAACACCCAAAATCGTGTGATGGTGTCTAACATGTACCATAAAATACAAAACTAGAAGGAAAAACATATGATTGGTAAATAATACATGGATATCCCACGATTAGAAATTCAATGGTGGTAAGTTTAAAACCACATACATTTTTTATGTGTAAACAACAGTCAATAATAGCCAAGTAATTTAAGATACATTACTTTAGTTTAATGAATCAACATTATGTAAAATAAACTAGAACTGCTATGCGTGTCTCATACCATTGTGTATGTTTTCCCGGAGCCAGTCTGCCCGTATGCAAAGATGCATACATTATAACCATCTAGAACGGATCTGATCAAGGGCTGAGTGTCAGCATAAATTTGTTCTGCACATGACAATAAAAACATCATGAAAAGCATCAAATAATAACTAACATGATAAAAACGCTATGAAATGCAATTTATCAGTAAGAAAACCATAAATTCACTATGAAGCACGGAAAGATTTTACTGACTGAATATTAAACAGGAGAAAGAACATTCCTCCAAGTATTTCAATTTCCCAAAGAGACAGTGCTCAATTTACAAACAACAGAGATAATGAATCTCTTCCTTCAATCCGAACCCGCCCCTCTAACTAACAAATATTTCCTAAATAACTGTGTTAATTTTCTCCTAACTTCTAACCTGAACAGTCCACCTGTCTGAGGAGTCGAAATGTGGACATGATTCCAACATTGATTCCTTTCAAACACTTTCCAACACATCTTAGACGATCCTCAACACTTGACCCAATACCTTCCTATGAATGGACACTCCAAGAACACTAGTACTATTAAACATTTGAAATTTATTTTAAACATTTAGACAAGTAGGTTTAAATCTAATCTAAAGTATTTAGGGTAAATGATCAATTTGAACCTTAAACATCTGTGACTGCCAATTTAATCCTTCAAAGAACGAAATATTTCCATCCTGAAGGTATAAAATCCTTCAATTACGTCCTATCATTAAGATTTGTGTGACTACTTGGTTAGTGAAATATAATATTAAGAACCAATTTAACAGTAAATTATAGACTATTTTGCCATTAGGCTATAGTATTAGGGATCAATTTGAATATTTTACACATTCAATAACTAAAGCATATTTTTCATTCTTTTAAGGACTAAATTTACAGTGTCTCACATTTAAGAATCAAATCCAAGTGTGAGTCTAAGTTTCTCATTAAATAGAAATGACAAAGTTAAACATCATATAAGAAAAAAGACCTATGAACCCAATGCCTTAAGATTTTAGGTTAAAAGTGGTGTCAATCCTTATGTGAATTGGGCTTGTGTCACATATATAATCTCTCTCTAATGAAATTACCCTCTCAAAAATCATAAAAATCCCATCAGTGGTATCCTGAACCCAACAATGTTTAATGAGTATCAAGTCTCACATCTACTAAAGATAATGTCACAATACAATATATAAGGGAGGGAAATGATCCTAAACCCTCTTTATAGGAATACTAAACATAAACACAATATGCCTATATTGGATACTTTATTATATTATATTGCATAAACCCTGAACAAATCATTATTGTCCATTAAATTAGAGAGTCATAATACAAGATCTATGTAGAACAAATCAACAAAGTATATATCCTGAAAGATGTAGAAAATTAAACTACCTTGTGTTACAGTTGTTCCAAAAACCTTATCAAATGAAAATACTCGTCTAGCATCTTTTCCATGCTTAAGGGGATTTATGATCATCATATCTCCATTTTCTCCAATATAGTCCACCGTAGACTGCCCGTTTGATTGTCCTGGTAAGAATGGCCTCACTCTACAATACACCCTGATGGCTCCTGCAAAACAGAAATTTAATTAATCACATTTTAATGAATAAGTTGATCCATGAAACTCGTTGCTAGGAACCTGTGTTCTTATGCACCTTTAAGGTCTTGTACTTCATTGTAAAGAAGGCGGTTCTCCTCCAAAACTTTGTGGTAGGAAGTGGAGGCCACTTCAAGGCTTTTGATATGATCCTCTAAGTAATAGAACTCAAGTCAGTCCAAATAGTACAATGTTAAAACACTTCTACAAACAAGATATTCAAGGAAAAACAATTCTTAGATGGTTACCCAGCCTACTCAATTCTTCTTCCCACTCTGATTGAATTTTTTTGACTTCCAATTTTGTTTCTTTAAAAAAGTACTTCATACCCTGAAGCCGGATGAAAACCTTAGCACACTGTGCTGAACAGCTAATCCAAACTCATGTAAAAGTAACAACTAACATTAGCAATAACTCCAATGATCTAATTTATACCTCGAGTTGTTTCTGTTGAGTATTGATTACTTCAGCATACTTTGCAGAATAATTGGCATTTTGTCGAATACTATCACGTTTTCCACCACAATTGCAGAATTTGGAGAAGTCATTTGATGCCAAGCTACTTCTTTGGTTAAGATATAGTGAGATGGTTTCTATGAACTCTCTCTTTGAGAGACAACCCATGTCACCTTTCAAAATTTTCTTTAAAAAAAGTCCAAGCTGCAAAGAATTGTTGAGAAGTGTATTTTGGAAAACCATTAGAAGGAAAAGGAAAATGTCACATGAATGGCAATTGTGAAGTTTGGAAGCAAATGTAAGTTGCATACAAGAATTAAACTATGGAGTACCTGAGTGCCTTGAGAAACAAGCAAAGATGAGAAATCCTTGACTACCTTGCTGAGTAAGGTATCAATTACCTACAAATTGTCACCCATATCACAGATAAGACTGCATAAAGAAAAGAAAATCCTTATGCAGATTATTATTGGAAAAATTCTAAAACAATAACCTTATTTTCCAGTCGTATACTCTCAATAGCAGTGCAATTTTAGTTGACATGATATTTGTCTATCTTATTTTCTTAAAANGATAGAGCACTGCTTAAAGGATATCTTCTGTTAGAGCCATCACTGACTAGCAAATCTCTCACTTGTTCATTATATATTTCAATCATCTGAACGAAAACTTCATATTTTATGGAATCAGACCTTTCCTTTGATATATGAAATAAATCACCCAAAGCCCTGTAGTTTACACCCCATGTCTCTTCTGTTGTAAGATCAGGGCCACTCTGCACAAGCAAGTTAATCGCATTAATAGGCATGATTAAAAAAAATGTTGGAACAAGAAATATATCGTAATTGAACTTATTATAGACCTGGTTGTTTTCTGATGTAGCTATAGTTTCAAGGTCTATAAAATGGACATTTTATCAATTTATGTTGACAAAGAACAAGATAATTTAAATTTGTAAGTAAGCTGTTAAGTTAGAGGTTGAATAAAGTTTCAAATAAGGAAGTTTTCAAAAGAAATGTCTCCAAACCAAGGTTTGAACTAGTACTACTAGAGTCTTTAAACACCCAAAATCGTGTGATGGTGTCTAACATGTACCATAAAATACAAAACTAGAAGGAAAAACATATGATTGGTAAATAATACATGGATATCCCACGATTAGAAATTCAATGGTGGTAAGTTTAAAACCACATACATTTTTTATGTGTAAACAACAGTCAATAATAGCCAAGTAATTTAAGATACATTACTTTAGTTTAATGAATCAACATTATGTAAAATAAACTAGAACTGCTATGCGTGTCTCATACCATTGTGTATGTTTTCCCGGAGCCAGTCTGCCCGTATGCAAAGATGCATACATTATAACCATCTAGAACGGATCTGATCAAGGGCTGAGTGTCAGCATAAATTTGTTCTGCACATGACAATAAAAACATCATGAAAAGCATCAAATAATAACTAACATGATAAAAACGCTATGAAATGCAATTTATCAGTAAGAAAACCATAAATTCACTATGAAGCACGGAAAGATTTTACTGACTGAATATTAAACAGGAGAAAGAACATTCCTCCAAGTATTTCAATTTCCCAAAGAGACAGTGCTCAATTTACAAACAACAGAGATAATGAATCTCTTCCTTCAATCCGAACCCGCCCCTCTAACTAACAAATATTTCCTAAATAACTGTGTTAATTTTCTCCTAACTTCTAACCTGAACAGTCCACCTGTCTGAGGAGTCGAAATGTGGACATGATTCCAACATTGATTCCTTTCAAACACTTTCCAACACATCTTAGACGATCCTCAACACTTGACCCAATACCTTCCTATGAATGGACACTCCAAGAACACTAGTACTATTAAACATTTGAAATTTATTTTAAACATTTAGACAAGTAGGTTTAAATCTAATCTAAAGTATTTAGGGTAAATGATCAATTTGAACCTTAAACATCTGTGACTGCCAATTTAATCCTTCAAAGAACGAAATATTTCCATCCTGAAGGTATAAAATCCTTCAATTACGTCCTATCATTAAGATTTATGTGACTACTTGGTTAGTGAAATATAATATTAAGAACCAATTTAACAGTAAATTATAGACTATTTTGCCATTAGGCTATAGTATTAGGGATCAATTTGAATATTTTACACATTCAATAACTAAAGCATATTTTTCATTCTTTTAAGGACTAAATTTACAGTGTCTCACATTTAAGAATCAAATCCAAGTGTGAGTCTAAGTTTCTCATTAAATAGAAATGACAAAGTTAAACATCATATAAGAAAAAAGACCTATGAACCCAATGCCTTAAGATTTTAGGTTAAAAGTGGTGTCAATCCTTATGTGAATTGGGCTTGTGTCACATATATAATCTCTCTCTAATGAAATTACCCTCTCAAAAATCATAAAAATCCCATCAGTGGTATCCTGAACCCAACAATGTTTAATGAGTATCAAGTCTCACATCTACTAAAGATAATGTCACAATACAATATATAAGGGAGGGAAATGATCCTAAACCCTCTTTATAGGAATACTAAACATAAACACAATATGCCTATATTGGATACTTTATTATATTATATTGCATAAACCCTGAACAAATCATTATTGTCCATTAAATTAGAGAGTCATAATACAAGATCTATGTAGAACAAATCAACAAAGTATATATCCTGAAAGATGTAGAAAATTAAACTACCTTGTGTTACAGTTGTTCCAAAAACCTTATCAAATGAAAATACTCGTCTAGCATCTTTTCCATGCTTAAGGGGATTTATGATCATCATATCTCCATTTTCTCCAATATAGTCCACCGTAGACTGCCCGTTTGATTGTCCTGGTAAGAATGGCCTCACTCTACAATACACCCTGATGGCTCCTGCAAAACAGAAATTTAATTAATCACATTTTAATGAATAAGTTGATCCATGAAACTCGTTGATAGGAACCTGTGTTCTTATGCACCTTTAAGGTCTTGTACTTCATTGTAAAGAAGGCGGTTCTCCTCCAAAACTTTGTGGTAGGAAGTGGAGGCCACTTCAAGGCTTTTGATATGATCCTCTAAGTAATAGAACTCAAGTCAGTCCAAATAGTACAATGTTAAAACACTTCTACAAACAAGATATTCAAGGAAAAACAATTCTTAGATGGTTACCCAGCCTACTCAATTCTTCTTCCCACTCTGATTGAATTTTTTTGACTTCCAATTTTGTTTCTTTAAAAAAGTACTTCATACCCTGAAGCCGGATGAAAACCTTAGCACACTGTGCTGAACAGCTAATCCAAACTCATGTAAAAGTAACAACTAACATTAGCAATAACTCCAATGATCTAATTTATACCTCGAGTTGTTTCTGTTGAGTATTGATTACTTCAGCATACTTTGCAGAATAATTGGCATTTTGTCGAATACTATCACGTTTTCAACCACAATTGCAGAATTTGGAGAAGTCATTTGATGCCAAGCTACTTCTTTGGTTAAGATATAGTGAGATGGTTTCTATGAACTCTCTCTTTGAGAGACAACCCATGTCACCTTTCAAAATTTTCTTTAAAAAAAGTCCAAGCTGCAAAGAATTGTTGAGA